ACCACAGCTGCAGTCCATGTATTTGTGTCGATGGTTTACTCCACATTGTGCATGTAGTATCTGCGTGTTGTTGATCTTCGGACAGAGCTTCTTGAACTTATCCGGTGCAGATAGCACGACTTCAACATGAAACTTGGAGGCCACCTTCTTTAAGTTATGCGAAATACGATGAATGTATGGTAGGACTGTTGGTCGGTGTCTTCTGTTCCTTTCTTTGTCTCGTTTACCGCGTGAAGTAATCAAACACTCAGCGACTTCATACAACAGGGAACTCGGGTACCCAGAAGACTTGAGTCTTAGCACTTGGGCATTGAAACTATCACTTGATGAATGTGCACAAGATTTCTTTAGTGCTGCTTTCAAGCAACCGGTAACAATACCTCGTTTTATAAGCTTGGAATGGGCCGAGTCAAACTGTAAAAGTCCTTTCTGGGTTCGTGGAGAGTACATCCAGCATGTATGGTCTTGAATGAACGTCAGCCTGAGGTCTAAAAATTGCAGGACCGCATTCGCTGGTGTCTCATAAGTGAAATTGAGGCCCTTTCCTCCTTCCAAGAAGTATGAACGTATGTTGTTGATCATTTGTGCCTCTTTGTCATCCGGGCAACATGTAAGTAGAACCAAGTAGTCATCCACGTATCGAAAAATACGGGATATTTGTTTGTTAGACGTTCTGTTGGCTATCTCTCTATCACGTTGAGACAAGAAAATGTCGCATAAGAGAGGAGCTACACATGACCCTATACAAATGCCCTTTTGTATGTAGGTCTTGCCATCGAAAGTGACCAGAGTGGTAGAAAGGTAAAAGCTCAGAAGTTCTAAAAAAGATTCAACCGGCATGCCACATTGGTTTTGAAAAGAAATTGAACCGTTTGCTTCTATGCATTCCCCTACTGCTGTAAACAGCTTATTATGTGGGATCGAATAAAACAAGTCTTCCACGTCAAGAGAAAGCCCATAACGGGCTGCAGTGGAATCTTGCTCCAGGTAACAAATTATCTCCTCTGAGTTTTTCACCAGAAATGGATCATCCAGATGAAGATGGGACAATTGTTGTAGGAGAAATCGAGACATAGCCCCTTGCCACGATCCTTTCTCCGTAACCACTACACGGAAAGGGCATCCTGTCTTGTGGGTTTTTGCGGTGAAAAACATGTCCAACTGGTTCTTTGTAGTATCAGAAATCAACTTCCTTAATTGAGCCAACTCAAGCCTGTGGCACATTTGGAGCACCTTCGCCTTTACTCTTTTGGTCTTGACATCAAATAACTGGTTGAAGTTCTTATTAATTGCTTCATTAACCTTGTCTAGGTAGTTAGAACCAGGAAGCACTACAAAATATCCCTCTTTGTCTGATACCAGTAGGTTTAAGTTATTGCCTTTGAAATAATCGACAAGACGGGGCATTTGTAACTTCTTTTGGCCAGCAGTAGTAGTATTTTTTAACAGCACATCAACACAGTCATTAACACAACGGGTCCTTTCATATTCTTGCGCCTTGTTGGCTATATCATGAATAATAGACACTAGCTGAGCGCCCTGTCTCTGTGGTGTTGTGCAATATTTTGGACCTTTTTTGAGGTCCAAAATATTGGATTTTCGTTGGATTTTCCTCTTTCTTTTATTTTTAAAATGCTTCACTTCCTTCTTGTCTTTTTCTATTAAAATTTCAGTTGTGAGTAGCGCTCTGTCCTGTCCTGTCTTACCTTTCTCTTCTCTTGTCATTTGCGCTAATTTTATCTGATCATACCTGCTTGGCCACCAAATGAAATTAAAAAGATTTTTGCTACAATCTTTTTGATAAAAAAAATTGTGAAAAATACCAGCTTACAATTGCCGTGAGGTTCGCTTATCAATCAATCTTTTATGAAAAAGTCACATAACTCATACTATTTCTACAGCGGCTTAAAGGGGGTAGTGTAACGAACGAAACCGGAGAAGCGGCACAGCGTTGGAAGACGGCCGCGGATGGCGCTGACGCTTGCAACACCGTCGTTCGGGTTATGGCTCCGGCTTGGCCGCTTGGTCAGTTTGGCTCCGGCCAGCTCCGGCCGATTCGCGGCAGTCGACTACACTGTCGTCTGCTAGTTTCACATTTTTTATTCCCTTTCAAACACAAAACATCTCGTTGGAATTTCACTGGAAACAAATAATTGTTTTTGATGTATTTATATTAGTTATGAAGGGTGTTAGGGTGCCTCTATCTGCCGGCAGATTGAGGCACCCAATGGAGCTGCGGATCGAAGCGCCACCTACATCGTCTTCCAAGGAGCGGCCGTTCCTGATGCATGGTGGAGGCTACGCGATAATCACACTACCCCCTTTAAGCCACTGTACTATTTCTGAGGCTAATAAAACACTAGGCTTTCTGCGACGCAACATCTTTCTCGCTTTCAAAGAAACAAAACGTTTACCACATTACTCACCATTCCTACTTTAGCTGGAGTACGCCTCATCCGTTTGGAATCCTCACCGACTTTTCATAAAAGACACGTTAGAGGCCGTCCAAAATCGTACCGCAAGAATTATTTACCGCAAATATAGCTTCGCAGCTAGCGTCTCCGCACTCAAAATCCACCTTGGTATCCCCTTTCATAAACACAGATTGGCATTTGTCCTTACTCCTAACCATGTTACACAAGTATTACCACCACCTTCCTTTGTAAAGCAAAGTATACTGCACACCCGCCACCTTACGTCTCCCTTCGCTTAAAATATTATTGTAAACTGCTCCTCTTTATTCATTGCTTTAACATGTTTTCCCTGCAGCTGTCTATCAACTATTGGAATGAGTTGCCAGACTCTGTTCGCACTTTCTTGCGTGAGTTTAAACGTGGTGTCGCCATTGTGCAAAAAGCCCCTAACCACTCCCAGCTCTTAGCGATAGACGGCGAGTTTCGCACTATTTCCGAAATCAAATATACACGCTATATTTTGGAAATGGACACTTATAGCACTGTCAAACCTAATTCACTCTAATGATAATAAAATGATGAATAAAATATTAGGAAATATACGTGATTCAGATGTGTGCAGGGTCTACCAAAATAAGTTGCGCCAATGAGTGTGTTGCCAAAAAAAAAAAAAAAGAAGGCCGGGGGGGCGAATAGTTACCATATCTGGCATTACGAAAATCCGAGAAGCACTTGCCTCTCTTTACGAATCAAAATGTACTTTGTTGCTTATTTCACGTTGTGTCTGTGTGTTTTTCTTCTATTTTGTTCCACATGTCCATCAGCAATCCCTGTATGCCTTTCTAATGTAAAGTGCCACTTGGGAATTTAAGGGACAAGTAAATAAAATAAAATATAAGTAGTTTTGATGACACCTCTACAGTTGCCACAAATAGAGAGGTATTCCTCGTTCTGACTAAACGCACGTCGCACAACGCGCCACGGCGCCGTTTAAACGAGGCACGAAGTAAAACGTAAAAAAGTTAAGACTGTTATAAAAAACAAGTGCACACACATTTCAAGGAGCTTCAAGGAGACGGATTACATTAAACTGTTTTTATAGTCAGTCACAGGGTAAGAGTGAAGTGGAAGTTCCTCTTACCTCTTTCCACTTCACCGGTGCAAAGGCTAGAGAGGAGGTGACCTCCTCTCCAGCTTTCGCTCTGCTAAACTGGGAAGAGATGGGAAGAGCCTCCACTTCGTCCTCCACCTGTCAACGACTATTCCCCCTTTTCTGTTTGCCAACAGAACTCAGTTATGCCATCTATTGGCTAGCCCCGGCACACTTCCGGTTTGACAGTACTATATGTGACCATTTTCGAAACCTGCCATCTAGTTCAGAACCGGAAGTGGTTGGAGTCTTTTTGTACACTGGCACCACCACGTTTCAGCTCACGCAAGAAAGAGCAAATAGTTTGATTTTTAGTCGACTTGTTGCAATGCATCTGCTAAACTTATTTTTTATGTGTGCCTAGACGTGCAGATGAAGTATGAAGTCATGCTATGATTGAACAACTACAGTGAGACTACGAGGCAAGGCGAAACACTAGGGGAAGGGCAGGTTCTTGAACTCTTGTTTTCATATTAATAGGGACCCATTGTATTGGCAGGCCCCCAGTATCGTCTTAGCGGCGCTACATAACAAGGAATAGAGCTTTAAAGCGTTTTTTTCTGCAATCCTCGCACGCTGCTGAAAGATAATTTATTGCCCTGGGCTTGACGCAGGCATTGCTTTTCATAGTCCACGAATGATTCTCATAAACGTAATCATTTTTTAATTATGCTCGCTCTTTGGTAAAATTTCGCGAAAGCCTTAAAGGGGCGATGCAACAGTTTTCGTACTTTCAGTAAATACCGCAACAAAATGTTTTCTGGCATTCATACCCTACGAAAAACGCGTCAACTCTATTTTTTCACTAAATGGCGGTCGTAGAAAACAAATGAGAGGGAACCAAATAGCGTTCATCCCCTCAACTCGCAGTCAGGTCAAGTGGCCACGAGATCTGTTGACGATTATATACCGCGAATGTTTAGCATATCACACGATCGGGTTCGCAAACAACAGGACAAGCGCTAAGGTCGGCACATTGTTAAGCTTCGGCTATTTTCGTCAACGCAGGGATTGGGCACCAGCCACTACGTAAATACAAGTCAAGGCATCGATTATGACGAGCCCAAACCGAATGCTCACGCAGTGCTCGTCTCCACTGTATCAGCAGCCTTTAAATATCGTCACTGCGGCAATCGAAATGTTTGATGACAAAATCTCGGGGATCGCATTGTTGGCAACCCCAACAATACTATCCCAACAACTTCATCATCAAGTTTTGCGAAGGTGACACCGAAGAAGACATATCGACTTTTATACTTGAAATTAATCGTTGACAAGGAAGCTTGTTGGCTAGTGGCGTTGGGCTGTGTTATATTTGTGTCCCTCTAGTGCCGGTAAGCTTGAGTAAAGGGAGGAACATATTTCTAATCAATATCGTCGCAGGCCCCTCTAAAATATTCGCCTGCTTTACGATATCACCCTTGCTTTTTACACAGCGGTGTCCGAGTCTTGGCGAACCCTTCTGGACGTTGGGTGTGGGCCCACTGTTGCCACTATCTTTCCGGCGACGAGAAAGATCCGCAGTATTGTCCTTAGTGAGCTGACACCAAGAAGTCGAGAAGAAGTAGAGAAGTGGATCGAGAAGACACCAGATGCCTTGGACTGGTCTTTCATGAGCGAGCCATTGGCCATCTTGGAGGGATACAAGTGAGAAGTGGTTTTCGTAGATCTGTACATTAACATTTGACCCGTGACGTAAAAAGAATTTTTGACACTCGTTTTTCGTTTTGTTTTTAGAATTAGGGCGTACCATAAATATCCATGTCTGCTTATAGTATTCTAATTGAATACTGAACTTGCAAATAAGTCGTCAGGCGCCAGTTACACGCTCGAGTTTGTAACCTTTTTTATTGTTACTAAGATTGCTCAGTCCTTGAGATTGTAATTCCTCAGCGCTCGCTCTTCTCATTTCCTTAATTGAATACAGAAAGTCCGATGATTGGTGTTTCGAGCACGTCCCGGTGTACCACATTATTAGCGACCTCTGAGGATAAACTTCTCGTCTGCTTTTGTGCAAAGACATAGCCTCCTGTAGCAGGATGAATGGATGGATGGATACGGCTGGACTTCTTTAATCGGGCGGCTGCATGCGCCATTCAGCCAAATACATTAATTTCCGACTAGAATGAAAACACTCAGGTTAAGGCTGAGAACAGAATATGCTTAAATTCTAAGTTAGTGGGCCATAGCAACTAGTCTCATATAGATACTAAGCACGATCATTCTCTTACCGTTCTCCACAACCGAGAGTTACTACATGTGTGAATGCGGTGCCGCCACACGCGGTAGTTTAATCGGCGCCATTTGAGAGCGTATTCATCTATTGTCGAGCCGTAAAAACAAACAAATAAAAAACACTTGACTCGTAAACGTGATCCGCCAAGAAGCAATAAAGAAGCGTAGCGTTCTGCTTTAAATTGTCTCTGACAGTGGCAACTTTTTTTGCCTCCCAATATCCTTTTGTGACCATCAATAATAGGTCACGCTCTACTGATTGCAATGTTTAGCCCCATACGTATTTCGTGGAAACGCAAACTGATTGAGAGCTCTTGAAACGCTAGGCATGGCTTACAATGTTCGCAATCTACTTCCTGATTCGTTCTTCGGTCTTTTTGATAACGGCCAGTGTCGTAATCTCATTGGTAGCGGCGTGATGTTAAAATGATCGGTACTCGCCAGGACCTGCGTATCATACGTAGTCGGTGACTATCGAGTCGTTTCAATAATCGCTTTCTTGAAGCTATCGCGTTTTGTCTACGGGACTGTGGATCGCGTCCCAATCATCGCAATCACTCACTTGGAAGAGCTATTGCGCGGTGCATGTAGAGTGCTAATCACACTTGTCTATAACGCGCGAGCGGGCGGCTTTCTCCGGGGAGCGCTAGACTGGTGGCTTTCACGGAAACTAAGTTAGTCACATGGCGCAAAATGGAACGACCCGGTCGAGGGGTGTCCCGCCCACTCTATCAGCTTGACAAGCGATACAAGTAAAGTGCTATATGATATATTTTTGTTTTTCGATGACGACATCGTTGATACGCCTTCATGCTTTAGTTTGTTTATTGTTGGAGCAATGATGTTTGTAAAAAAGCGTGCGAGCAGCCTTCCGCGTTTGCTGCCAGCTGATAGAGTGGGCAGGACACCCATCGAGCAGGTCGTTCCATGTTGCACCACGTGACCACCTTAGTTCCACGAATGCCACCAGTCTAGCGCTCCCCGGAGAAAGCCGCACGCTCGCGCGTTATAGACAATTGTGATTACCACTGTACGACCCTGAGAATGTGTGACTGGACACTTTTGCTCGGGGTTTCAAGCGCTGGACAGCATGTTCTCTCCACTCGCAGGCATTTCTAGGAATGTGGGAGTACTGCTGTTTCAAACGTTCAGATTCTGAAAAGTTATGAACGTGTATGGGATTATTTTAGCAACTATACGGTGCCTGGGGTGTGTCTCCGACTGGTGTGTTTAACGGGTACTCATATATGGTTCCTAGATTTCCGCCTCAGGACCTGAACAAAGTGTCATGCTGGTGCCCGTCACAACCTTGGTGGTGTCAAAGCAGCTGGGTGAATGGGGAAGATTCCCCTTCTTCTATGGGTCGCTCTATGCCAGACAGTCGAATGAAACCAAAGCAGAGTCGAGTAGAGGAACCGCGCCTGCAGCTACCCTTGGTACGCTCGACTTTTTAGACAGCATTTTTACAACCAACCACCAGGGTCGAGACATTCAATAGCATGACACACTGACCCCTGCGAAATAATGTCTTGCCACATTGGCTCCACTTTCGGTTCACGGGGGGGATAGGACAATAGACACGCCGTTTGTAAACCTGTTTTAAGCACTGTGCTAAAATCAACAACCTCTTGACGCAGGGACGCAAAAATGGGAGCCATGGACATCGAAGAAAGAACACGCGGGGCGGTCAAGAAAGTCATTTCCTGCGATGTTCTGAACCCGAGTGTCCTTCCCAAAGGACACGAGGAATCCTTCGACGTCGTTCTATCCTGCCTTTGTCTGCAGTCTGCAACTCAAGACGAAATCACCTATCAAGAAGCTAATCGGAACGTCTCAAGCCTGATCCGCAAAGGAGGGCACCTTATACTGTGCGGCACTGCCGGGACGGCGTTCTACACTTATGGCAACGTTGTGTTCCCCAACGTTCGCCTTTCTAAAGTCATGGTGGAGGATGCATTCAGTAAATCGGGGCTTGAGATTATACGCTGGAGCTCCCGTGATAGCCCTATCTCCACTGTGAGTCCGAATAGAAGTGACTTCGCGTTCGTCGTCCTAGCCGAAAAGCTTTGAAGGACCGTGAAGTATGAACTGGTGGGAGGAAACGAAGGAGGGAAAGAGAAGCACCCCTCCCACAAGGAACTCTGCATGCCCTGATTGGTGGTTTCCTCCTCTCCAGGTGCCTCCTATTTGGCGTTCTTAGGTAACGAAACTGAATTCGTGACGTCACTTAAATAATATCAAAGCGAGATTGAACACGAGTTTCATTCGAACGCTGAAGCAGCACTCGTTTCTGCTCTGCGCGTTGGCCTTCTTTAGGCGACGTCGACAACTCAGCACTATGGTCTTGTAATCAAGGTAGCGTTGCTTCCTTAAAGTAGAAAGAGTCAAGAGTTTTTCGGGAGGAGCTAGTTCACGGGTTCGAAACGTGACGCGTCGTGATCTGCAGCGGCCATTGTCTCCAGCGGTGCCTTTAAATGCTAGAGCATATCTTTTGGCCTTCACGGAGTACCGAAACTCCTAAACTTTGTTTCAGAACCGAGTGTCGGCGCAGCAGTCGCGTTTCAACCCATCCCTAATATAGTGCTGCACTGTCCGGTTGAAGCGAAGCGCGTACAATGTAGGGTTCGTTCTCATGCGAGCTCTTCAATCCCCATTTTTGTCTCTGGTGACACTGGATTGTTTTCAATAAAGTACTTTCCCTCGTTCCGAGCGGTGCGGGACTTCCTTCTTGGTGTCTCTTCACTTTTTCTAACCTCGAAACAGATGGAAGCCGATTATAAGGCTTAGCGTCTCAGGCGTAGGGCTGGAAACGCAGCACCAGAGCAACCGAAGCCACCAAATAAGCCGGCAATTTTTGGCAAACCGGAATAACGGCTTCACGATAAAAATTGAAAAATAGCAGAAAAAATAACTAATTTTTCGTTGGGTCCTCACTCGCCGATGCCCAGGGCTCTGACCCGTGCGTACCCACTGTACCCGTGGTAACGAGATAACGCAGAAACGTTTTCCATAATTATTTGCTGTTTTGAATCGGTTTCCAAAATGGCTGACTTAGAACTTCCGCCACGTGCTAAACCAGCCAATCAGGACTGGATGCTGCGGGATTAATTTCCGGTAAGCAGAATGAATGGGATTCGGTACTCTGGGAAGATTCAGTTACTCTACTTTCTACTATATGCTTCCTTTTAGCTCAGCTCAGGTCGTTCAACACCTGAGGCTGTTGTGAAGAAAATGAAGAACTTTTAGTGGAAGGATCAGGCACAAAACGGAACGTCTGAAGTTCTTTGTCGAGGCCCGCATTCTTCGCGAATTGGGCGAAATTCGTGAAAACTCCTGCCGGCGAAAGCAACATGTTTTACAGTATCTGTCCTAATCTTGCTAAAGACATGTAATTGCTGTCTTAGAAGTCGAAGAATACGTACACCTGATTTGCCGGAAATGGTCCCTGTTTCGCTTCCTTTCGTGTTTGGAATATTTTGATTTTAAGAATTTCCTCTAACTTGAAATGCGAGGGTGCGTCGTAAACTAACGTCTGAAGTGCTTTTATATGGCGGTTCTATATTATAAATTCTGCAACCCCTCGCAGAAGTCGAATTTTTTCCACTCTATCGATGTACCTAAAGCGCGAGACACATGGACGGCAGAATCGTCCGATCCGACGTCCGATCCGACAGTCCGCCGCTCCGAATCGCCGTACGCGACAGTTTGAGACACACGCTTCCGACCTTGCATGCGACACGGCGATCCGTTCGGCTCCACCCAGGAAATCCAAGCACTCCAGCGGAGGTCCGTGTTCATAGATCTCTGGTCCCAGATTGACGGTTTAGCTTGCACGAGCGAAGTTAGGAGCTCGTTCTCGCTTGCGCGTGCATTCTCTGCCGGGGCCATCTATTTCGAATGGGTCAGCGGGATCTCCACGCGTCCGGCTTCCCGTCGCCCGTCCCGTTTTCTTATTCGCCCCGCCAGACCCAGTACGTCATCATGACGTTCGCGCTACCTGCGCTGTCATTGGCTGGACGCATCCGACAATCCGTCCGCCGTGCGAAACTATCTGGCGCGTTGGACGCACGTCAGATCGCCGATCTGACGTCTGAAGCGACCAAATTTTTCGGATCAGGCAGTCGTATTGCCGGATCGGACGTCGGATCGGATGGATTTTCGCGCATGCAAGTATTGCGATGCAATCGACACATCGTAAAAATATTTCACTACTAAGATACAAATAGATTTTGAAATTAGGTAACTTGCATCTCTACAGGTGCAAGAAAATTGTCAATAGGACCATATTTGTACTTATCTTCTCTTTTAGCCCTCATATGCAACTTGGCACGGTCGCCGGCAAACAGATTACACTTCGCTCTTCAGGCTTGTATCGCAGAATATATATCCCTAGTGCGATCGTCAGCCCTCCCTTGCATCATTCAGTGCGATTCACCTCTCCGTCTTTTCAATATATCAATTATTTTCTCCTTGACCCCACGCGTAGAGTGAGCGCTGCCCACCGAAAGTCGTTTCCTGCTGTAGTGTTTTTGTTTAAATAAAGTTAATTCCTTAACGTATTTGCGAATGTGAAGAGTAAAACGGTAAAAAAAAAATAAGTTGGAGATTACTTCTTATTGGTGTGTTATGACTAATCGTTGTAGAATCCCTTTGAGCAAAATCATATTCGAAACCGTGATATAATAATATGTGTCGTTCAGAGATGGCAACAGAGATGGCGAAATTACTATAAAATATAGAATTACTATAAAGGAGATAAACAGAGATGGCGGAATTACTCTAAAATATAAATATTTAAATTACTAATTACTTTCTGAAACTGCGAAAATGAAACTAAATTACATTCCAAATTTCCACACACGAAACGTCTGACATCATTACAATTACTTTCCAAAAGTCATGAAATTACTTTTATATTACCTTTAAATATCTTAAACAGTAATTTGTGTTTATATACAGCGTACGTACTAGAAACCAGATCTTCTTGTTTACATCGTAGCTTCTTCAAGCGCCTCAAAATGATCCATACAGAACAATTGTTCCGCGGGCGCACACAACGGAAGTGTTAAACACGATGAAGGGCTTCTTCTTTAGATGTGACTCAAAGACAATGGACTCACCGGTTTCGCTCTTAACTGAATAAGGATTGTTCTTAGTTTAGAAAAACATTTTTGGTTGTGGGTATGTTTATACAGCCTGAACTTAGTCTGCCTCAGCGGGTGAATTTTCTATCAGCTGTAGATGATTTTGCCGCTGCAGTACAACCGCTAACCTGGGGTCTTTAGCGTGCACCGCGCAGTAGTGGTAAACGACCGCACGCCGGTACGAGGCTAATCCAGATCGAAACGGGCAGGAGTGGGGATAGAACCCAGGGTCCCTAGGGGATTTGCAGCGCGAGCTTTCGGTCCACGTGCTCCGAACGTGTGTGCGCTAGCCCAATCGTCCACCGATTACCTTTCCTTAGGTAAGGGTGATCTGATTCCGTCTTTCTGATTTTGAACAAGTTATAGTCCCTGTCAGTAAATTTAGTCGGGCCACGGGAACTCGTTCTTAAAAGATGTCGTCACGAGAAACGTTTCCCTTCCCGCTCGGATGCAGTCTAATCCCTTTCTCCCAAGGGCACTAGTTGACACAAACTCGCGCATCCTATCGGGGAGTTTTGTTGCAAGACACCCGAATAGCCCCAGTCCTCGCACGTTGTCACAAAGGGGGTTGGGTGTTTGTTGGGCAGAAGCGTCCAAAGTTGAGGAAAGGGATGGCGCGAGCTTCCCACTTTCCTAAGAAGCGGGTGGCGATATCTTTTCGTTTCATTAAAACTGGTTCAGAGATGTGCAACCAGCGCGTTAGCTACGACTGCGTCCGTTGTGTCCGGAGCGACCGGAACGACCGTTCTGAGTCGAGCACACACATTTCTGTAACCACTGCAACAAGCGCAGCAGGTCTTCAGCACGGCGGCTGCCATTCGCTGCCGTCAGCTGTTTCCGAGGTGCCTTTAAAAAGATTTGCTGCCACTTACTGTTTTCTAAAGCCTCGAACTTTATCAATTTGTATTATAGGCCTTTAGGACAGGATAGGCACGCAGGAGAGTCGATGAAAAGGAAAAACGAACAGATCGTTCAAGATGGCGTGCCTCAGACGGCCACGACCTTAACACACAACTTTATCAGTAATATCTAGGCTCACGCCTTTTTAACGATTACGAAAGACGACGTAATCCAAGCAGCGTTATGACAACGTAAAAATAACATTTCGTGATAAGGTAGACGTTGCGAGCGTTCAGAAATGCTAACACTAATCACTTTCCGCGGGTAACAAAAACGCGTGAAAGTTAGCATCCTTCATACATGCCTTCAAATACGGTACGCACCATAAATACCTTAAAATTTAGAAAACGCCTGGAGTGCGTAAAATAAAAAAATCCGGGCGATATTCGAGGGCACGAATGCTAATAAAGCATCATTATAACCGAGCTAAACAAACAAGACGGCATGAGCGTTTCTGATATCTTGAGGGTGCCGCCACGACATCGCCGCACGAGTAGATGAATCTTCCCTTCTACGACATGCTGGACTGTCATCGCTACACACGACGAGAATTCACCGTCAAGTATAGCGCTCTTCACGGAACAACGAGCTTCCACCATGCCGATCACGTCGACGACCACCAGCGACTTCATGTTTTTCAGCAGATAGAAGGAACCGCGACCGGCATGCTACGCGCGCGGCCCAACTTTCGTCGGCCAGTGATTGGTGACCGCGCAGCGAAAAACTTGATCCCGGCTCAATTCCTTGCGTTGTGAAGGAACACGAACGTAACGGCGATTTGGCGCTTCGTTGCCACGGCAACTCGACGTTCCAACCGGTTGCATTCGTTTGTAAGTGTATTGGTCGCTCTGTGGTCAGTGAAGATGACTGCTGGCTATCTGCAGCGGCTTGTCCCTCCACAGCCTGCAAACAAACTACACGAAAAGGGTGAATGTTTATAAAAACAAGCATTTTTAAAGACTATGTTACAGAAATTGCATAGAACAAGAGAATCCCAGGGGTTGGGTGAGCAGTAGTGTATGGCAT